CATTCAATAGCGTTCCATGGGACTATGAAGCCTTTCATTTGTCGCGTCAAATTCAGTTCAGTCACTACCAAGAAACACGAATAATTTCGTTACACACACAAATACATGTTCCAAACGCGTTGATCTGAGTCGATTGGTATATGACACTCGGCCTTCCAGGGCCCCAGCAACTAATATATAACAAATGAACATCTTAATGAGGTTTAATATAAAACTTTGTTTTTTTTTATATTAGGGTAATTGATTCTGGTTGGACCAATTTTTTCAATCGCTGATTTAGTCAATCTTCGCTAATTTTTTATTTTCAAAGATCACTTAACTATCATAAAAAACTCTTTTTCTTCAATTTGCATGCGAGTTTTATTGAACAAACTTCAAAACAATTGAGTTTCAATGTGTTTTCAAAACAGTTCACTTTCCACGCATTAGCTCGTCATCATGCCTTACTTTCAAACATACAAAAAAGGAATATTGTTTACATTTATTTTTATTTTCATGCAGTAAAATACTGCTCTAAGGTGTAAACAGCACGTTAGTACGTCATTTACTAATTGGTTTCACTAAAATGTTTGAATAATTGACGAAATTCGAATAGATAAATATGATCATGGTTGGACCTACGCATGATGATGGTTGGACCTATGTGTTTCCTAAGACGGCCGCTAGGTGCGCTTTGGTTTGTCTACATCCTTCATGCGCACACACTAAAAAAATCTGAATTTTACTGGTCATGTAAACATCCATGCATGCAAACATTCATGCATGTAATCTTCCTTTTCACGTAAACTAGCAGCTTGCAAGAAATGTTGTAAACAAATGTGGAAAGTTGCATACAATATATGGAATATTGCATGACATGTCTCATAAATTTACACGATTTGTAATGTAAATTTATATGATTTATGACGCTCCATTTATGTGCATCATAGTAACGGAAATTTACACTACTTTTTTTTAGCTGTGCAGCTGATTTGAAATTCGATTTCGTTTTGGCCGAGTGATCAGTTTCATCGATTGAAAAAAATTCTAAAGAAAAGAGTTATACGGTCGAAAATATTCAAGAGGCTGTTCTTTTAGTAAGAAATAAATCACTTACCGAGTATCAGGCACAGAAAAGGTACAATATTCCGAAAACGACACTTCACGCAAAAATTAAGGGAAGCCACGGCAAGAAATATGGAAGGGAAATAGTGTTGAGTGTTGATTTGGAGAACCAGCTAGGGGATTGGGTTTGTATGTGCGCTGCTTCTGGCAGTCCCAAGACGACCAAAAAGATCTTGGAAGCTGCTAAAGACCTTGCGGCACTAGTTGGGCGTAAATTTAAAGGAGAAATTCCATCGTCAGGTTGGTTGAAAGGGTAACCATCGACTTCCGAACTACCACGAAAACGCCGAAAGAATCTATTAATATGAATTTACATTAAGCTTTTCTCATACACCTTCTGTGTGTGAATTAACTTGAAATAAAATGTTAACAAACTAAAAACTGCTAACTGAAACTTATTTCCGAAAAAAAAAAACTCCTAGGAGAAAAAAAACTATAAAACCGGAATTAAGTTCTGATATTCTGTCATTTTAGGCCCCTAAATTCCCCGGGGGCACCCAGAACATGCTCGAAAGTGGGCAATGTGGTCCAAGGCACTCAATTTTGTTATTGATCTTGTTATCGAATTTGGAAGTAATGTGAAGTGTCGCATGATAGGTTTTATTCCTTCCATATCAAAATTGGGTCCATGATCCATATACCCTGTAACTTTTTCCGGCCATATCTCCGGAACCAGTTTACCGATTCCAAAAATATTTGATAGCTTTCAATAAGACCACAATACCTATAGTTTGACGTTAAAAAAATTCCAAATCGGGTCAATGATTTCCGAGAAAATGAGCCATGATGAAATGATGAATAGCTAATGCGTGGAAAGTAAACTTTTTTAAAAACGAAGTTAAACTCAAATTTCTTGATTTTTTTTAAATAGCAAATTCATAAAAACTGTATAAAAAGGGTTTTTTCATGATACCAATAAGCTCTAAACAAAGTTTTTGAGCAAATATGGGCTAAACTAGCATTTGCAAAAATAGGTCCAACCAACATCATTATTCTTTGCTGAACAAAAACGTTTTATAAAATCATTTGTTCATAATATTTAACTTTTTATGTTATTATTAGAAACAAGAAAGGTAGATCTTTCTCCAAATCACGCATTTTTTATAATTATATGTTGAATACATAAAAAAAAATAGGACATGAATATTGACGTCGTGTGAAACCGGCCTAAATAGGTCACTTCAAAGAGTGATTGGTATTACAAGACATTTTAAGTAACAAACTATGGTATTCTAGCATCTGGTTTAAGCGTTGATTATTCCACGGTGCTCCTCTTTCCGTTATTATCAAAAATTGAGTTCCATCAAAAGAATGCATAACAATCAATTCGATAGATCATTCCGCATCTTTGGAACAAATTTAAAAAAAAAACTACATGGGACAGCCCTATGGGGTTGTACGCAATGGTGACGTAGGACAACGTGGTCTTATATAATAAATCTTTTTTTGTTAACAGCAGCAGAAGCTTGTGTATTGTGTAGGAATAGCAATTTGAGCGGGGTTCTCTTTGTTTATACTCTTTAGTATGACGCGCTTGACACAGATGGCCTACAGCGACTCACGAAGAGCTACTGATTCCAATCAATAGCGGTGCGGCTTCTTCCTCCTTCTATGGACTCTTGTGGGCTGCAGTTCGCTGCTTGCAGGCAGCCTTTCGTTGTGTACTGGTGAACAATATTGAACGCTACGCGCTGAAAGTACTGCTGATGCCGACGATCAGACACCACCACACAGGGTGGTTGGACTGAATCCGATCAGCAGTTGAGGGCAGCCTTGATAGCTAGCTGCTTGTGGGGAGCCTTACGTTGTGTACTGGAGTACACCACCACTCACCACGCGGTGATTGAATAAACACTGTATGGTGAGACCGGATTGAATTCAACTTTGAAATCTGTGCTAGGGAAATCACTTTTCGCAGGCAACCGGTGATAATTTTAATTATCATAGCAACAGTTGCACATTCGTACGATTTCCAATAGTGACATTTTGAAAATTGATAGTCTTAAATTAAGCAGATACGTAGAAATATTCCTGATCGATTGGTGATAAAATTATTGAAATTGGTTCAGGTCCAGCTAAGTTATTAACGTACAAAAATTTTCATAATTGTGTTACCTGACCCATTTTCTGTTTTCACAAAGTGTACCCCCATATATAAATCAAAAACGTAGTCTTACGTCAAAAAAAAAATCGTAAGCCGCATTTTCGAAGAAATCAGTGACTTGCTTTCACATAAGCTTATTTTGCAATTACCACGACATGAAATGTAGATTGCACAATTTTCTAAATATCAATTACTTGGTTATAATTTGTAACGGTTGCAAATTTCTGTAAATCTAAAGGGCTATGTACGTTAACTTATGGCTTCAGTTTTATTTAAATAAACTATGTTAAGAACTAAACATATTTAATGAATCTCAGAGTCGTTTAACATAAATTACAACTATAGTATTATAGTCAACTGCAGCACGCATATGTGCGTCAGCTATTATAATAATTAAATTATTTATTAGTTCGCCTTTCATAGAACATTTTTGAGGTACTATTTTAAGTATTTTACCTCTTATGTCAGGCTCGTCTACACCATATTTAGATTTCTAGTTATCATACCTGAATTTGGTATTCATAATTTATTTTCTCCTGCTCGGGTACCCTTCTTTTTAAGAAGGGTAAACAGCGAAAAAATTCAAATTGAATTTATACGACTTCAAAACTCTCTAATTTTTTCGTTTAGTTTATTTTAAGTTCAACCCTTTCCAATGGTAACGTTATAATATATGTGTATTTGACCCATGCTGAGTGATGAGCATTTTAAAGGGCGAATTTTTTAGAGGACATAATTAATACGCCTTTTTTACGATTTTTTTTCTTTAAGTAAGAAAGTAAAAATTGCATGAAAATTAGTTATTACAATTAACAACATACCAATGCGTATATTTTCACATATAAAAAAGTTAGTTTTTAAACATCAATTATGTTGCGGGCAATCCTAATCTTTACAACCACTAAAAAAAAGACTTTTCAAGCACAAAAACTTCACCAACGACACCAAACGTCTAAATATTACAGCAAATTCTCTAGGACTACAAGTCCGATTAAATTCCCATTCTGGACCACTGTGCGATGTTTGTTGGAATATTATCGATATGAATGAAATTCAATCACTTTCTTCATAAGAAAGTTATTACAAACCCAGGATCATACTTTCACACTTAGAAATTGAACAATCTCCAAGCCTATGATCTGACATGTATCTAACATGGAATTCTAAAATAAATTTAAGCGAATCCTAAAATTATAAGGTCCTCTATAAAATAAGACCTTAAGCGAGATGAGTTATGGAGGGGAGGAGGTATCCCTATTAGCTAGGCCAATGCATTTTTTTGTTTGCGGAAAGGAAATAATAAACCACTTAGAAACTCATTGAAAATTGTAATGAGTAAAGTCGAAAAGGAATTGACAAAGGTGTATAAAGATGCTTAACCCATTTTATGATATTCCCACAAATAGGCATGCAAATCATAAATGATTCAGAAGAGTGTTTCTGAATGTTTTTAGAAGATTTAGAAATTTACTGAAGAATTTTTTGAGAACTCAAATTGAACTATTTAATTTAAGACATGGTACCATATCTCCAAACTCATTAGAAAGGAAAATTTTAATTCATAAAACCCAAATTGCTGATACACTAGACAAGCTGTAATTCAGCCGTTCCATCAGCTTAAGATATCCAGTTCACTCCACTTCAGCCCGAAACACGCTACTGATCCGATCTAAACACGCAATAAATCACCTTCCAGCAGGTTGTAATACACTGTTTACCATTGTCCAAAAACCAAACAACTCACCTTTCCCTTTTTCGTTATTTACTTTGTTCTTTCAATCCCGAAAAACAGCATTCATGGAACCGGACCGGCTGCAGAAGCGATTTCGCTCCAAGCGTCAGGCATCGTTCTACAAATCATCGCGGGCGCTCGATACGACCATCTATCCGGAAATCCTGGTCATAGTGGACTACGACGGCTACCGGTTACACGGCGGCGACAACGTCCAGGTCAAGCGGTACTTTGTCTCCTTCTGGAACGGAGTGGATCTGCGCTATCGGCTGCTGAAGGGGCCGAAGATTCGCATCAGCATTGCCGGGATCATCATCTCGAGGGTGAGTACCTTTCACTGGGTGTGCTTTTGCGTTTTTTTATTTTGTATAGTGAACGTCGTATTTGCTTGTTTTAATAAACTTAAACACACGCACAATTTTATATAAATATATTTAATACAAATACAAACATTCATACAACAATTATTCATACACATACACTGCGTTGTCGTGCGTCTTGCCCCAATGTTGTGGTGCATATTGCTCCATGAATCAGGCGTTTTGCCCCGCTATCATTTTGGAACCTATTTACAAAATACCTTGAAAATCATGAAAAATCATCGTTTTGTAGTTCGAAATCACTCGATTTTCGTAGAAAACGTGGTAATGAACCATAATTACTTTTTCCTTGATTTTAGCTTCTATACGCCAGCAATTGACGATTTTGCTAACGCGGTGCGTTTTGCACCATCCTACCCTATGCGTTTCCAGAGAATTTTAATAATATTTGACACTCGTTATTCGTACACCAACTTCGTAGCCTTTGTGCAACAGCAGAAGCAAGAGATTGTTGTTAGATTGTTGTTGATCAAACAGCTGCTCGGTCTGGTAGCTACTGTTTGAATATTCGTTATCGCGATCGGCTTTGTCGCTCAAATAACATGCTTGGCGATAAGAGATTAGTGTGTGATTATTAAACGGAATCACGATTGATGAGGGACGACGAACAAGTTTCCCGGTTCATTTTGTATTGTATCTCAGGGGTGATGCCCAATGACTGCTACTGTGTGATTCGATGAGATAATGATAATGCAATGGTCTAACAATAATAATTATGAATGAGGCAGAAAATATTCACACAGACAGAAAAGGTGCGACATTCGTCAGAGTTCTCGAGCAACATGTGAAAAGAGCCTATGAGCCAAAGCACCCACGGAAACTAACTACACCATCTGGTAGAGCAAACTTCCTCTACCAGATGCTGTGTCGGTTTACCTGAACGAGCCCTTCTCCGCCAAAAAATCGCCATTTGACACGAAGATTTTTTTCATAAAATTTCCCAACCATCGCAAACCTTAACAGCCACCATATTAAATTCCAATCCAACCCCCTACCAGTTGACGATCAACCGCAGCATCCGAACCATCATCATCAACCGCCACGCCGTCGTTGGTTTCTCATGATCATCAGATAAAACCACTTTTTATGCAAGTTAAATAATACACAAAACAAAATGTATTCTCAATGTCAACCACTTCTGCTGCGTTGACTGGCTGTGCAACGATTCTTTATCTACCGGTTCGAATCGAGCCTGACCGATTGCCCGGTAATGGCCACCGGCAAGCAGCGGCGGCAGCGAAGCAGATGATACTTTTACTTTTATCGCCGCACACTATGAGTGTTTATTTCGCGAGAACTGACCAGTTGTTCGCAGCTAACGGATCTGCTGATCGCTTCGACATTTGCCGAGAGCCGGATTATCTACACTGTTCAAGACCTGCTGCAGCGAGGGTTTTTCTTTTCTTAATGATTGGCTACTGGTGAATACCACCAAATTTAAAGAACCCATTCAAGATGTGACCTGTGCTCGCTGGTTGTGCATCTTCATCGCCCGGAGGGCTTGCCCGTTGATTGCTTTCGAGGTCGAAGCTGAGAATATGATTTTATGATGATGGGAGCTAATTGTGGGGAATGCAAAGTTATGAGTGATCCACTCACCGTGGCGTCGTCTGTCTGTTAGAAAGGGTGATTTACCTACCGTTTTTGGCGGAGATAACTGGTTCCATTAAAAGCTTCGATTAAGGTGTTGCACATAATTACTACAATGATGTCAGGTCCTTGAACCGGATCCATTAAATTACATATTTGAATCTAAAAAAACGGTTCACAAATACAAGCCAGTACAAACAGCTGGTCATGGTAAGACAAAAATGCACTTGATTAGCCCTAGAAACTTTTTTACAATGGAAGAAGCAACTACATTGTCGATGGCTAGTTCGATTTATAAAAAAAAAATCAAAACATTTCCAAACTGCGTCTTTTGACAAGAAAAATATGAATACAAGATACTGAAGAAGTCTGCAGCACAATGTAGACGAAATACACCAATCGGCTAAGGATAACCAATTAAGGTAGTGGAGTTAAATTTTATCATTATTATTTAATAACGCACTTTACCATGTTCGTGGCATTCGTGCCGGGTGTGGAAATAAATGTAAATTACGAATTATTATCTCTTTACTTTATATATTAAAACAAACCATGTTCCACATTGTGCCCAAAGCCAGCGCAGTGACAATGTCCAACTTTGTAATATTGATGTCAGATTTAATCGACTAATCCATTACGGATTCTGAAAATCAAATGTTTTTAATCGATTATCTCAAGCCAAATAATCGAGCAAGAACCGATAACATATGAATATTTCAATGTGATTTGTTACCTTATTTTGGTATGCTTGTGGTTAAAAGCCCGTGAATTGCAAACCCGTGACGTGATCTACTCTCGAGCGGGTAAAAGAAACGCCGTGGTGATCATGGACAGGGAGGACTATGACTCACGTGTCCGTAATATGATTAGCTTCGGCCCATACGAAGAATGCAAATTCAAGAATGGCAAGTCTAAAGATCCTCTCAAGGCAATGATCGAGGAAGCAAATTTTGCACGGCCCAATGTAACGCGTCTGATGGGACAAGATAAGTTTATCAGAAAGTTCAACGTCCCCAATCCGATGGTGACATCGCTATACTGTCTACCGAAGATCCACAAATATCCGGCTGGAATAAGACTCATTTCGTCAAATATCCGCGCACCCACCGAGAAAATGGCAGCTTGGCTAGTGGACGAAATGAAGAACTATCCCGTAACGCATGGAAAAAGCGTTAAAAATTAGGTAGATCTGGTTGAGCATCTAGAAGGGTTCAAGATGAGATGAGGTGAGATTTTGGTATCGTTTGATGTTGTTGCACTATTCCCAAGCGTGCCAATCATCGATGCTTTAAGTAGCCTGCGTCGGCATCTGGAACGTCGTCGAGCGCCACACAATCATATTGAGGCTTATCTGCTTGTGAACAAAAGTTTACCCCACGTGTGTGGAGGCGCTATGTAGATGATGTTTTTGCACCAGTTAAAGAACGCTATCTAGCTCAAACCCCTTAACCTGCTTAACTCCCGGCACAGTTCAATAAAATTCACGGTATAAAGAGAAGTGAATGGGAAATTGCCCTTTCTGGATCTAATGATTACTAGAAAGAAAGATGACACCCTGAAATTCGGTATTTATCGCAAACCGACGTCCACCGATCGCTACATTACTTCCGTTTCCAACCACTTTTGCACTCAAGCTGCTTTTCACTCCATGGCACACCGTCTTTACAACGTACCCATGGAGGATGCCGAGTTTGCAGACGAAAGAAACCGTATCTACAAAGCGGCTGAGGTGAATGGGTACGAAAAGGAGTTCGTGAACAAAATTCTCCGAAAACACAAACGAAAGAAGCACCGACGAAATATAACCACACTAGAACCCCTGGGAGAAAAAGTAAAAAGAATCAGTCTGCCGTCCTATCCCAAAATCACAAACCTAATCAAATCCACACTAAAGTGACAAGGACTTCAGGTAGTACACAAGAGCAACAACACTTGTTGTGTAACCTGAAGGATAAGCTTCTCTATCGATCTAGCCGGGCAGTAGGCAACTGCTGCTCGGCACGCCACTGTCGTTGTAATTCCGAAATAATGTGGGTGACCGCAGTCACCACCACACTCCAGTTCTCGGTGGTACCACACATCCTAGGAACGATGTTATCCGGACTGGTATCCGCTCCGCATATCGCTAGCATAGTGCTCGATACTGGCTCGAAGCGTGGATAGGCGAACACAACGTGTTCGGCGGTCTCCTCGTCGCCAGCACACTTGGGGCAGATGGGAGTACTTGCATGTCCGATCCTATGCAAGTAGTTCCTAAAGCAGCCATGGCCTGTCAGGAACTGTGTCAGGTGGAAGTTTACTTCCCCGTGGCTCCTGTTGACCCAGCTTGATACGGAAGGTATCGTTGTTGCGCACCTCCAGAACGGTCCTCGCGTCATAGCACACCACGTCCTCCTTAATGATAATGCTGATTGGCATCATCCCTGCTATGACACAGACGGCCTCTCTCGAGATAGTGCGGTATACACTGGCCACCCTCAAGCACATTAGCCTGTGTGGGCTCTCTAATTTCCGCCTGTGGCAATCAATATCGAGTACCGCAGCCCACGCAGGGCCGCCGTATCTGAGGATAGATACTACGACCCCAGCGAGGAGCCTGCGCTTACTGACATTAACTGCCGAGCTGTTTGGCATCATGCGGGATAATGCCCCCACAGCCGTAGACGCTCTCTTGCAGGCGTACTCGACGTGGCAGCCAAAGCTGAGCTTATCATCGAGCATAACCCCCAAGAGTTTCAGAGAGCACACAGACCTAATTGTGCTTCCGCCGACTGTCAACGTCGCATGCTGTACTGACATGCGATTGTTGACTACGACAACTTCCGTCTTGTGATGGGCAAGCTCCAGTTTCCTGGATCTCATCCATTCCTCCACAAGCTTGACGCAGTGAGCCGCTGTCAGCTCTACCTCCTCGAGGGATCATCTAAACGCATGGGAATCATCATTTTACACCAATACTGCTGAACCATTGATGAATGATGATGACCCATTATACCGTTCCGATTCAAATTTCGGACACTTTCATTTTTAATTAAATATTGCATCCAGTTAGAAACAAAGTAATAATGTTAGATGATCGTGGAGGGCACTAGTCAAAAAAAAAATTAAAATTTACAAGACATGTGGATCATATTCGACCGAGATAATCAACTTTTAAAAGTGTCCGAAATTCGAGTTTAAGTGTCCGAAATTTGAATCGGCACGGTATCCTAACTTTTCAAGCTGACAAATCTGAGAATCCAGTAGCTTATCTTCTCTTCTTATTGGACGTGTACGGAACAACGTATGAACATCCTGAGTAATCAGTTGGACATTGTCCCGTAATCAACATCACGCCCAAGACAGAAAAGTAA